AAATGTTGGAGAGCTTGTGGAGAGACTGGAACACTTATATACTGTTGGTGGGAATGTAAAATGGAACAACCACTTTGGAAATTGATTTGGCACTTCCTTAAAAAGCTAGAAATAGAAGTACTATACGATCCAGCAATCCCACTCCTTGGAACATATCCTAGAGAAATAAGAGCCGTTACACGAATAGATATATGCACACTCACGTTCGTTGCAGCACTGTTCACGATAGCAAGAAATGGAAGCAACCTAGGTGACAATCAACTGACAAATGGATAAATAAATTATGCTATATTCACACAATGGAACACTACGCAACAATAAAGAACAATGATGAATCTGTGAAACATCTCAGAACATGGATGAATCTGGAAAGCATTATGCTGAGTGAATTTAGTCAGTTGCAAAAGGACAAATATTGTATAAGACCACTATTACAAGAACTCAAGAAAAGGTTTAAACACAGAAGAAAACATTCTTTGATGGTTACAAGGATGGGGAGGGAGGGAGGGAGAGGGTTATTCACTAACTAGATAGTGGACAAGAATTGTCTTAGGTGAAGGCAAGGACTACACATACTACAGGAGAAGTCAGCACATTCAGACTAAACCAAAGCGAAGAAGTTTCCTGAATATAAACAAACACTTCGAGGGAGAGAATAGCGGGGGCAAGGGTCTGGGGACCATGGTTTCAGGGGACATCTAGGTCTATTGGCATAACAAAGTTTATTAAAAAAATGTTCTGCATCCCACTTTGGTGAATGGCGTCTGGGGTCTTAAAACCTAGCGAGTGGCCGTCTAAGATGCACCAATTTGTCCCAACCCACCTGGAGCAAAGGAAAATGAAGAATACCAAAGGCACAAGGAAAATATTAGCCCAAGAGACAGAAAGAGTCACATAAACCAGAGACTCCATCTGTCTGAGACCAGAAGAACTAGATGGTGCCTGGCTACTACCGATGACTGCCCTGACAGGGAACACAACATCGATTCCCTGACAGACCAGGAGAAAAGTGGGGTGCAGAATTCAAATTCTAGTCAAAAGACCAGACTTAATGGTTTGACTGAGACTGGAGGGGCCCCGGAGGACATGGCCCCTGGACTCTCTGTTAGCCCAAAACTAAGACCATTCCCGAGGCCAACTCTTCAGACAAAGATTACACTGGACTATGGGACATAAAATGATACTCGTGAAGAGTGTTGTTCTTAGCTCAAGTATATAAATGAGACTAAATGGAAAGCTCCTGTCCAGAGGCAAGATGACAAGGCAGAGAAGGCCAAGAGCTGGTTGAATGGACACAGGAAATCCAGGGTGGAAAGGAGGAGTGTGGTGTCACAGTATAGGGAGAGCAACTAGGGTCACGTAACAATGTATGTATGAATTTTTGTATGAGATACTAACTTGAATCGTAAACTTTCGCTTAAAGCACAATAAAAAAAAATCTTCATAAGGTTAAAAAAAAAATTGCTTTCTCTCTCTCTCTGTCTCTCTATAGACCCACATAGATAATTTCTCATATTGCTGTCATTTGAGAATAAACTGCAGACATCATGATCTTTTCCTCATAAATACTTCAAAGTATTTACTCATAAAACTTCAAAGAACAAATGCATTCTCTTGCATAAGTACAATTTGATTTTCAATTTCAGCAAATATAACTTGGATATAATAGCATTATTAAATATATGACAAATATTCAAATTTTATAATTTCCTCTAAAATGTCATTTATAGAAAAAAATTTTCCTTGATCAGGATCTAATCCAGTATCAGGAATTGCATTTAGTTGTGTTGTATCTTTAGTCTCCTTTAATCTGCAACCATTTCTTAGTCTTTCTTTTCTTCTGACAGTGACACCTTTGAAAAGTGCAGGCCGAATTGTTTTGTAGAATTTGGGATTGTCCAGTTGTTTCCTCACAATCAGATTCAGATTATGCATTTTGATGTTATATCCTTCTCAGTGCTATTAGGAGTGATGTCTCTCTGTTCCATTCTTGGTGATGTTAACTTGATCATTTGCACATGTGAGATGCCACCAGATTTTTTGACTGTAAAGGTTCCTTTTTCCCTTTAATCTGTAACCTACCCACTTCCATCAAGTTGATTCTGACTCAGAGCAACCCTATAGGACAGAGTACAACTACGGCCACAGAATTTTCCATGGCTGTGAATCTTTATGGATGCAGACTACCATATCTTTCTCTTGTGGAGCAGCTGGTGGGTTCGAACTGCTGATCTTTCTGTTAGCAGCCAAGTGCTTTTAATCTGTAACCTAAGGGGAGAAAATCTGAAAATATTGTGTTCCTAACTTTCATCTAATAGATTTAACATCTGTTGATAATTCTTACCTGAAGTAATGACTACGATGATCCCTATTTATTTTTATTTAAATTTCAGTTCTGTTTGTCTGTTTTCATTGCTGTGTGTTCACTTTCTCTCATTTGTTTTTAAATTTTTATTGTGTTAAAATATATAAAAACTTTGCCATTTTCTAACCATTTGAAAAGTGTATAATTTAATGACATTCATTACATTCACTCCTCTATTTGGCTTTAAAAGCAGACCCCTCCAGACTAGCTCCTTAAAGGGTACAGTGGTTTAAAAATGATGGCGTTTCCCCGGCCGAGAGCCTTTGGAGATGGGTGGAGGTGTTTTAGGTTGACATATTGACTTGGATTTGGGCTGGACTACTGGCATTTAATGGTAGGTGTCAAAGAGGCCAAACTTCTTTCTGATGTTACACAGCAAAAACCTGCTTTATTCAAAATGCCAAGAGAACCCTGTTAAGCAACACCTTATTAGAAGTACCAGAAACAGTTAATCAGAGGAAACAAAGAGATGAAAAACAGATGTACTGTGCAGTATCTATTGAGGTCATGGAAACATTCAGAAAGGGAAGCAAAGAAACCTAAGAGGAAAGTGCTCTGGATAACTGTGAGCTTGTCTTTACTTCCTTAGAAGTGCTAACTGATGAATTACATAGAGTGGGCTTTTTGTTAAAAGGGTAAAGGCCTCTACAACACTATTAAGACCTTGTCCCTAAACTTGCCCCAAAAGGTGCTTTGGACTATTTCACCACTGCAAGCTTCGATACCAACCTAGACTCAAAACAATCCAAGGCCTCGTTTCTGAACAAAACTTCAATATTATCTTTGAGTTTTCATTATTTTTAAAGATTTCGATTAAAAACACATTTTACCAGGCCTTATATTTTGGACCACGTAGAAGTATTTTTGGTTTATTAGCAGGATATTAACCATATGTACAAAATTAGAGTATTTTAAAACAAATCTCAGACATTTCTCCTGTAAACACTCTGGCATGTATTCTACTAGATGAGGATAATGCCACAAACACACATAACCAAAAAATAACAATTCCTTAATGTCATCTCATGTCTGTCTATGTTCAAATTTCCTTGATTGCCTCAAGAGTATCATTTATAGTTGGATTGTTTGAATCCGTATCCAAGCATAGTCTACACATTGCAATTAATTTATTTGTCTCTTTACACTCTTTTAATCTATAGCAGCCACCCCCTCCCTTTTGCCATTTATCTAGTCAAGAAGCTAGTTCATTTGTCATATGGAGTTCCCACATTTGGTATTTAGCTGACTGCTTCCTTTTGGCATTTAACTTGATTCTTCGCTCCCTGCATTTCTTCTAAACTAGATTCTAAAGACTTGATTAGATCCTGTTTCAAACACCCCCCTTACACACACACACACACACACACACACACACAAATACTTCCCCCTTAAGTGGTACATCCTATTTCATCACATCAAGTGGCACATGATATCTGGTTGCCTCACTTCTAGGAAATGCTAAAATCAGTAAGAAGGTTTGGGAGGTTATCAGCCTTATTCCTCCATTTTAAAGTTCCCAATCATCATTTACTTAATGATTCCAGCAGCCATTGATGGTCACTGCCTGGGCACATTACACCATTCACCCTACTCCCATCTACAAGCCACCTACAGATTCACCCATGCACAGCTGAATGGTAATCATCAGCCCTTCTACTCAGGATGGAATTAGGAGTTCCCAGGCTAACCAGTTTTCAAATAACTTCAGAAGTTGAAGCCTCACTTGAACTTTTGTTTGTTTTAGTAAGTCACTGGCATTGATGCTAAAATCTCTTCCCTCCAAACAAAACAAAATACATTCAATTACGCATGACTCTACTCTGGATATCCACAACATTTTTTTATGAAGCGTTGAGAGCATTCTTACAGTTTCCTCTAAAGCAGATATTAACAGGTAGGAATCTATCTCCCTGGGAAGAGGAAGTAGACACATCGACTAAGGCCTCTACTACTTGTGGAAATCATACTATTGCTAAAAGAACACAGATGTGTCATTTTGGATTTGTGCTCTAATTTTCTTTCCTTTGAGTTACACTATCATCACACTGGAGTACCACGTATACAGTCAAACCCAGCTCTCAAAAGAGCAAAATCTTTATCACGCAAGGTTGTTGATTCATTTGTGCGTGTGTTTTCGGCACCTGTGGCTGTGGTTTACATTATTAATTAATTAAAGTTGAAAAAAAGAAAAAGCAGTAAGCTATTTATAACACATCATATCTATAAACTGGAGCCCTGGTGGCACAGTGGTTAGGAACTACAGCTGCTAACCAAAAAGTCAGCAGTTCATATCTACCAGCTACTCCTTGGAAACCCCAGGGGGCAGTTCTACTCTGTCCTATAGGATCACTATGTGTCAGAATCGACTCAACGGCAATGGATTTTTTTCGTTTGGTATACAAGTAAAAGAAAAGTAAATTCCTACTACTATACGAGATCATAAAGAAAGGAAGCACATTAAACCCAGAATGGCTGACTATGGAGGGAAGGGAAAAAAAGGGGAATGCAAACTAAATAAACCAAACAATAGTCTTGAAAAGAGCAATGATGATAAAGTGCCATGAGCTAAATATTATGCATGTTAAAATAAAATAAAAAAGATAGCTGCTGCATGCATGGAAAACTCCACACTTACGTTATCTTCTGTTGCATAAACCTGTCTGGATCCTGGGCAGTGTAGGACGTGATTTCCTGGCCGACGCCAAAGTCTTCCGGTACTTCCACTGTCTTGACAGGAGGCATGAAGATGGGGGCTTCATTCACATCTATTACGTCCACAGTCACTGTGGCTGTGGAGGTGGGAAGACTGACCACAAAGGGGACCACATTCTCCACTGTCACATATAGAACGTACTGCTGCTTGGCCTCAAAATCTAAGCCCTATAGAACAGAAAAAAATGAGGGGAAAAAGGCATTTTATATTATTATTATTTTTTAAATTAAATTCCAAACTATTGCTTTTTGTTGGTATGATGGTTAATTTTATATGTCAGCTTGGCTAAGCCATGCCATAGATGGTCAAACACTAGTATAGATGTTGCTATGAAGGTATTTAAATATGATTAACATTTACAATCAGTTGACTTTAAATGGATTACCCTCTATAACGTGGGTGGGCTTCATGCAATCGATTGAAGGTGTAAATAGCAAAACCTGAGGTTTCCAAAAGAGAAGAGGATTCTGTCTCAAGATAGTAACAGAAATATCTTGCTCAGTTTGCAGCCTGCCGGGCCTACAGATTTAGAACCTGTGAATCCCCACAGTTATGTGAGCCAATTCTTTAAAATAAATCTCTGTGTGTATGTCTCCTATTGATTCTATTTGTCTGAAGAACCCTAATACAGTTGGGAATATATCAGCAGATCTCAAATCCGGGTGCAATAGCAAGAATTAATTTGGGAACTTTTAAAGAATACCAACACCTAAGCCCTAACCCTGTTGCTGTTGTTCAGTAGAAGAATTCTCACCTTCCATGCGAGAAACCGGGGTTCAATTCCCGGTCCATGCACCTTAAGCACAGCCACCACCAGTGGAGGCCTGCATGTTGCTATGATGCTGAACAGGTTTCAGCAGAGCTTCTAGATCAAGAGAGACTGAGATGAAAGGCCTGGCCACTTACTTCCGAAAAACCAGCCATTGAAAACCCTATGATCACAACAGTCCAATCATGTTGTGCCTGTGGTTGACTCATCAGCAGCTAGCAACAGGTCCATTAAATAAGAATGTGAATGTGGGGCCTGAGCACTGGTATTATTAAAAAGCTCCCAATGACTAACATGGAACCACATTAGAGTTGAAAACTAAGAAGAAAAATAAAGGTGAAGAAGAACTATGTGTAAAATATCAAACTATAAACCTCAGTTAACAAACATAGACACCTTAAGCCATTTATTTATCCAAGACTGATAAGAATGTTCACATCACAGCTTTCCCAACAGCAAATGCACTGAAGACCCTGCTTGTCACCCTGACTAGGTTTGGAGGCAAGAACGTAGGGCTGAGAATCAAATCCCAAGGTCAACTCTTAGCTGGGCCAACTTCTAACTATGCAATTTGGGCAACTTAACCTGTAGGCCTGTTTCCACACCAAAATAAATAGAAAAAAGAGTTTTATCAGATTGCTATAGGATTAAGCCAGAACTTTTACGAAGCACCTTGTGTATGGCAGGAACTTAGATTATTAGCTTCTCTCTTCGGTTGATAATCAGAATAATAACAGGAAATGTTGACATCAAATGTTCAAGTATTCCCTTTAGTTAATTCAGAAATGAAAGATCTGGTCACTCGCTCAAAAGGAAGCCAAACAAAGCTCTGGGGAGAACCCAGGAATCTGTTAAGTGTTTGGCTAACTGACATCAACAAACAACTAACCCAACTTCTGAGTTTTCAGCTTTCCAAGGCAGCTTTCAAAAGCAGCCATATCTGCCCCCACTTTTAACACAATCTAACAAAATACCATAGACCAGCGAAGCATTTTTCCTCTCATTTGCAAAATGGATACAGGGGGTAGGCAAATGCTTCTAGGAAAGAACCTATTAAAAAGATTGTGCTTCCTCTTCAATCTTAGGATGCTGTGCAAGAACTTCCTTATTTCTTACATGAGGATAAAGTGTCACTGCAAACCCCACAGTCCATCAGAATCTAGGAAAGTCATTTCTCCCTTCCCCAATACCAATGTAATTCCGAGAAGATACCAGGGGACACGAGAATGGGCTTCTAGCCATGTTGTCCATTTCTGCATCATTCCAGGCACCATACAAACCTTAGCTGTTTTCAAAATGCCTTCATTCGTTACTGAATCTGTGATGACAACAAATTGCTTCTCATCATCATTTAATATGTTGTATTTGGCCTTCCACGCTGGGGTGTCGGGGACATCAGCATCAGTCACTTTGAGCTTGGTGATATCTGCATTGGCCTTGTTCTCAGGAACTGTACCGTCATACTGCAAAGCAAAGGAGAAGATGGGAGTCATTTATGACATACTGAGACCCGACAGTAGGGCCAGCTCTCAGGGGCCTAAGGGAATCCTTCCTGACCCCAAGCCTTGAGTAGAAGAGGTGACAAGGAGAGATCAGGTGATGTGAACAAAGTGCTCACTCTACCAGCAGGTCCTCATTTCCTGTTGGTGAAGAGCTGGTGATGACTGTGGTGTCATCCTCCAGGAGTACCTGACATAGCTTTCCAAGGCCCCATCTGCCTGAAAATCCTCCTCACACTCCAACCCAATTGCTGACTGTCAAGCATAAAACACTGGTGTATCCTCACCTGCCCCAGCAAACAATTCTCTATCAGCAACGAGAATGATCTCCACAAAATGAAAGTCATTTTAGGCCTGGGCTTAAGACCCTTTGATGGTTTCCCCCTGAACTCAGGATTAATTCTGAAGTTCTTACCTCAGCCTTCAAGATCCTGTAGGACCGGGCCTCATATTCAGTTCACTACACTCTAGCCGCCCTGGCTGTTTTTCAGTTCTTCTTGTGCAACAAGATTCTTCTTGATTAAGGGCATTTTCCACATCCCTCTGGCTAGAATGTTCTTCTACCTTCCCCTGATCTCCTTTCAAGTCTGAGTATAAATGTCACTCACTGTTTGGGGAAGCATTCTTCTACTCACAGTGGCTCGGCTAGGGTGGCAGACACTGCTAACAGCTGATTGAATATCCATTCTCCCCTTCTTCACTAAATATATTGTTAGTGAAACAACAATGTACCCAATGAAAATACTACATTTCCCAGTCTTCCTTATAGACAGCATTTGCCAATGAGATGTAAGTGAAAATTATAGGATGGGTCTTCACAGAAATGTCTTTATGATGAGGATCCAACTGGGCAGCTATGCTTTTCTTCCCCTTGCCTCCTTCCTAAATGAAGCAGACATAATAGCTAGAACTCCAGCAGCTATCTTGGACTACAAGATGACTTTGAAGATGAAAGCCATGTACTAAAGATGGTGGAAGAGCAAGACAAAGGAGCCTTAGTCACTATTGACAGGAGTCCATGTCTACCTCTGGGCTTTCTGTTACATAAAAGAAAAAAAAGCAACCTATTTGTTTAAAACACAATAGTCAGACCTCTGTTACTAACTAGCCAATACAATAAGGTTTAATTTAAGTGTTCCTCTATTCGGCTTTCAGTACCTTTTCCTTGACTGCATTTAATACAATTGACATTCAAGAATCTGTATAAGTTACCTCACATCCCTCTAGCTAGACTATAAATTCCATGAAAATAGAATCTTGGCCTTGTTAGTGATTATATCTTCAGTGTCTAGCACAGTGCCTAGTATAAACTTGGAAAATATTTGTTCAACGAATAAATGAAATGTTAAGTTTTGCTACCAAGACGTACAATACTTGGACATGCATTCAGCGGGTGCTTTTCTGAAGCTTCACAACCTGTGTCAATGGGTCCCAGGGCAAGGATAGAGCAAAGATGCTCAAAGACAATTACTCACCACCCTGTTATCCTTTCTTCTAAGTCTAAAGCTAACATTCAATAGTTCACCCATGAGCAGTTGTGAAACTTATTTCATGAACAACAAAGAATCTTTTTTTGGAAACTGTATGAGGCGTTGTAGAATTACCATGGTTGGGTTGAAGATGGGAGGGTTGTCATTGGCGTCCATGACTGTAATCACAGCTGTTGCTGATGTGCTTAAGCCTTCACCTTGAAGGTCAGTTGCTTTAACCACCAAGGTGTACTCAGGAATACTCTGTAGATCAAACACACCCGCGTCAGTCACCTCAGGCCCAGCCCAGCCAAGCCCATCACAGAGAAACAGAATGTTTTATCATCTGCCAACCACCTGCCTTCCAGGCACAGAACGTCTGAACAGATGTTTAGATGCAAAGCTTAGGACAACCACTCTTATTGTTAAGCTACAACTAGCCTCAACAGAGCTTTGCATTGTCCATGGGATTTGGCTAATATATATTTGCCCTCAGCACCCTCTGGATCCTCCTGACCCCTGACCTCTCGATCCAGCCCGGTGGTGACCACACTAATGACTCCTGTGTCCCGGTTGATGGTGAACATGTTGTCGTGAGGCAAGGTGGGCTTTTGGTTTTCAATGGCATAAACAATGGCAGCGTTGTAGGTGTTCACATCATCATCTGCATCTGTGGCTGTGACCTGCATCACTGAGGTTCCTGGAAGTGTCAAAGGAGAGAAAGACTTAATCAAGCTGCACTTTGAGGTGTGATCAATACTGATCAGCTTAATTCTGTCCCAAGTGATAAAGAAGGGGCTCTGGGGATGGTATCATGTCATAGCTCTTCCATTCTCTAATTTCTAAAATTCTTACCAAAGCGCTAAGGGAGAAAGAAAGCGTTCCATCAAACAAGCGGTGTTCCTAGAACTCAATTTTTCCAACAAATTTTGTGTAGGGTAGAGCTGAGGAGGAGTATGGGAAATAAATAATCTTAAGCTAAAACATCCTGTCAAATTTCTTATACTGAGTGAATAGCGTGTAAAATAAGAAAAATTCCAGAATTTTCCACAATTGGCTTCTCTGCCACCGCTTCTTCAGACAGAACCGTTATTTGAAATCTTTGTTTTCAAGATGAAAGGAAATATTTATAACACATATGACTGACAAAGGACTAGTACCCAAACCAAAACCAAACTCACTGCTGTCAAGTTGATTCTGACTCATAGCAACCCTATAGGACAGAGTAGAACTGCCCCACAGGGTTTCCAAGGCTGTAAATCTTTATGGAAGCAGACCGCTACATCTTTCTCCCGCAGAGCAGATGGTGGGTTCGAACTGCTGACCTTTTGATTAGCAGCTGAGAACTTTAATCACTGTGCCAGAACCTCTGAATAACTCTTAAGAACCAATAGAAACAAAAAAAAAAAGCACATACATGTCATAAAGAAGAAATTCAAATGGCCGCTAAACAGATAAGAAGCTTAACCTCATGAATAATCAGGGAAAAGCAAATTTGAAATTTCATTGCGATACTTCTGCACTCACCAGATTGGTGAAAGCTAAAAAGTCTTCACAATTCCAGGATACCAAGCAAGGGGAACACATATATTGTTGGTGGGAATATAAATTGGTTCAGCACATACTCTCTGATTTACAAAGTAGGTCTGTCCACAGAAAGGGCCAATGTCAGTGACCTGAATGCAATCTACAACCCCAGCACTTCTTTTTCTTGGGCTTTCAGCTCATTATTGGGAATACCTGGGACAGCTCCTTCCATGACAGACCCTTTAAAGACATCCTGGGTGAATATGGGCTTATTGTCATTCTGATCTGTCACTGTAATCACAATCTCCATCGGGTCTTCCACTGCATCTCCATTCGAAGACACGGCATGAGACAAGAGCTGCAAGATCCAAGGGAGAGTTACTTGGGCCCTGACAAGGAAGAAGAGGTGGGAAGAGGGGTCTGACCAGAGAAAAGTGGGTGACCTGAACACCTGGCCTCCATTCCTGCCTTCTCCTTGAGGTCCAAGTGTGGAAACCCCTGCCAGGGAGCTTTTGTGACACATGTGCTGCTGCTTTAATGAGATTGTGACACTGGGTGAGGCGAGCTGGAGAACCCTCCAGATCAGAGCTCCCATTTCTCACAAGAGGGTTGGAGACTTAAGTCCAGGAGATAAAGGTCAAAGTCTAAGAAACTCTGATTTCTTCCAAGTGGGTAAAATTTGCTCTATTTTATCTAGCCACTCCACTCTAGTGTTTCCCTCCAAATTTTTCTTATTTGGCATCCATATATTACGTACCAGCTTCCCTAAGCTCATGCTGCTACCAAGTCCCAGAAATTATTTTTGCTACCCAATGCCATCACTGAGCTCTTCCTTTGGGTCAGAGACTTGCAGTCCCATAAGTGGACGATATCTTGGGTCTAACCTGCATTTATTCATAAACATGATGCACGAGGACTCTCTTCCCCTTTTCTACCAACAAGGAAAAGATTAAGAACCCTAAGTTGTCTGAGGTTCTCCTGTCGTTTTGCCTTATCAACAGGTCAAGAGATGTCAAATTAAGCTCCTCACAGGTCCCAAGAATCTGATCTAGGGATCCAACATGAATGGACCAAATATTCTTGGAAGAATTAAAAAACAAACTTTTTTTGGAGGTTGCTCCCCTGTCATTAACAAGCCTCTAAGATAAACTCACAGTATAATTGGAAATTTTCTCTCTATCCAGAGGCTGTGTCACCATCAGCCATCCTGTTTTTCTTTCAATAACAAACACACCAACAGGAGGTCTGTCAGCTCCTTCACCAGTGATGCTGTAGAAAACCTCTATTTCTTTGTCCCTGCTAGATTTGATCTGAAGAAAAACCAAAAAGAAACAGAATTAGCAAGGAGGGATCCTGACAGTGGGTCTTTAACTTTCTCTCCTCAGTCTTTCTTAGCCAAATTCCCCCCAGAAAAAGAGAACTTCTTTCCCTACCCGAACCAGGTTTTTAGGAAATGGGCCCTTTTCATTTTCTGGGCAGCTGATAGGAGGGATAACCCAGTCTCTCTTTTGTCTTCGGAGACCCCCATGATGGAAGTCGGGAAACATGAGCACTTCTGTCTGGGGTCCAGAGAGAGCGTCCTAAAAGGAAAGGAGACGGAGAACAAAATGAGATTATTCAGGACAGATACTACAGTTCGACCTATAAAGTCAGCATCTTCAACCTGCTGAGGGCAGTGTAGGGTTTTAACTTAATAATATAGTCTCTTGACAATGAAAAACTACATATACTCCCCAAAATGAGCAGCAAAAACAAAAATCAATGAACCCCTTTGCTTTATAATCAAGACTATGTTCTCTTTTAATCCTTCTTAGAGTCCAGAGTTTAAGTGATCATTATGCATACACATTTATAGATCTAGGGGTTGATATTATTTTAAAAATTATTTCAAGCCTACATACCACACTTATCATTTTTAATAGCAACATTATACTCTGATGATTTAATGTCAGAGTTTATTCAACAACTGCATATTCATATGTTTGCTTTTTTTTTTTTCCTTTTATGTTTTTCCTAGGGCTATAGGTCCTCAAAGTGGAGTCATCAGTCAAAATGAGTAAGTTTTGGGAATTGGCACAAACTAGTTTGGGATCAATACAGATCCCTTCATCTCATTGTGTCACTATATCTATACAGTTTCCATTTGTTTTAACAGAAGCTGTTGGGATGGGAGCCAAAAACACCCTTAGAGACTTGTATTGAACAGTTTTTAGGTGCAATAAAGATAACATTATGCACACACAGGGAAATAAGATAGTTGAAGATGGAAGGAAAATATCTTCCAAATTGTTTAAGTGTTTTAAAGTGATTAGTGTAACACAGTAAATGTTCCAGAGTATATAATTCCATCTCCCATCCTCCACGTATGGACTGCTCACTCATAGTCACTGATCACTGTTTGCCAAGTTCAATTAAAGCACAATTTCCCGGCTTTTTAAAAATTTGATTCAAGATGCCTAAGAGATGAGACGTGATTCAACATAATCATCACAGAATCCTTGCCTAATTCTGCATAAGGGTCACCTATACATCCCTTCAAAGACACACACACACACACACACACACACACACACACACACACACACACACACACACACACTGCCCTATGTACCCTTGTGTCAGTCTTCTAGAGAGATAGCCCACTATGGGTCAAGGGTAGGCTCTAGAGCTAGGCTGCCTGGCTTTGAATCCTCAATGTGGCACCTCCACATTCTGGACAGTATACTTAGCCTCTCTGTACCAGTTTCCTAAATGTCGAAAATGATGATAATATAGTGCCTCCCTTATAGGGTTCTTGGAAGGATTAAATGAGATACTGGTTTTGCATAAAAGTCTAATAGTGCCTGGCACAAAGTAAATGCTCAATAAATGATAATGATGAAGATGATGGTTGGATTGATTGGAAAATACTGAGTAATGCTTTTAATGAAGTCAAATTTGAAGTTTGATTCCAGAACAGAACAAAGTATTAAACTGATCATTAATACTGTTCCCTGAGCCTTAAAATGGCCATCTTTACACACCCATGTTGTGCAAATTCACCAAGACAAAGAGCCTGCTCTGCTGGCATCAGGATGGTGGAATATTTTCAGAGAATGATAATAATCATGAACACTGTGCTGGCAAGACATAATATTAACATTTTCATGTATGAAATTAAAGGGAATCATGCCTACATATACTAAACATGGAATTCATCCATCAGAAAAATAGGATACCAGAGTAGACAAAGTGAAAGAATCACTTCTTTCTCAACCAGAGGTGATTTTGTCCCCAGGAGGTATTTGGAAAGTGTATGGAGACAAAAATTTAACACACACAATGTATCCAAGTAAAAGACTACATTTCCCATACTCCCTTGCAGCTAGGTGTGGCCACATGACTAAGTTTTCTGGCCAGCGAGATGTAAACAGAAGTACTGCTTGAAATTTCACAAAGGCTTCTTGAAAGACAGACAACTAAGCAATACCTTTTTGTGCTTCTCCCCTTTCTCCTTCTTATCACCCAGAATAAAGATATGATGACTAGTGCTCCAGCAGTCATTTTGGGTCATGAGGTATCCTTGAGGATAGAAGCCGTATGCTAAGGATGGCAGAGCAGAAAGGAAGGAAGGAGCCTGGGCTCCTGATAACTGTGGAGTCTCCATACTGGCCACAGACAACGTATTACCCTTGGACATCCATCCTTAGCTTAAAAGAAGAGTACTCTATTTTGCTTAAACCACTGTAATTTTTTTTTTTTAATAGTATCTACTTGAACCTGGAAGAGGTGATGAGGGAAAGTTGAAGAATCAAGGTAAAAGCTTTCTCTTGTACATGAAAGGCCACTACACACAGCTGCCCAACAAGAACTCACTGTGCTAAACTCCTCACATGAATGACAGAGTCAATCAGAGACTTGAGTCAGGGAGCTACGTTAATATAGTTTTACTAAGGTCCTCATTTTTCTTTTGTCTGTCCATTTACCCCAGGGAACATTATTAAATCTATCAAGAGGACTATTAAGTTCGTAGAATCTCAAGAGTCTTTGAGGGGGAAAAACAGGAGACAGCCTGAAAGGCCTTTGGCACTTACAAGATATCCCACACTTTCAAGGCAGTAAATGGGATACAGCTAGAATGGCGCCCAGAGAGGTATTTTGGTATGAAGCGCCAGGGAAGGAAGATAACTTTTACCCATGGGAGTAGTTTAGAAACTGGCAAAGGCATTTGGCTTTGGTTAACAACCCCTAGAAACATTCTTGCCAAGAACCTAGGCAGACATGCATCCTCCCATTCTCCCATTCGTGACCAATCGAATCCATCCATCCATCCATCCATTCAATATTTACTGGGATCCTCCTATATGCCAAGCCTAGGCCCTGGCACTGTAAGCACAATGGGGAAGGCTCTCACGGAGGTCAGAGTCAAAAGGGGCAAAAGCTTCCTGCTGGTTTTCCCCCCTTCTTTGCCAAGACCCTCCCCATGAGAAACACAAAGAGCAAAATGATCAGAAAATTGACCTGTCATTTGTTCTTCCTCCAGCAGGAGAATAAGAACAGTTAACAGTTACTGAACACTTAACATGTATTTGGTTCTAGCACAGTTCTAAGCATTTCAGATTTATTAATTTATTCAGTCCTCTTTATTATCTCCATTTTATAGATGAGGAAACTGAAGCACAGACAGCTTAAGTAACTTGCCTCAGGTGGTAAATGGCAGGGCTGTGATTCACACAATCACCCACTACTCTTACACAAACTATGGAAATAAAGGCAATGATACCTTGCCATCAACCAATCACTACCACCAAAAATAAATAACAGCAAGAATTAATTCAGTTAGACCAATAGTTCTCAACTGGGGGCAATTTGGCCCTCCAAGGGGCATTTGGAAAAGTGTCTGGAGATTCTTTCTGGTTGTCACAACAGGGGGAGGTGCTACTAGCATCTAATAGAGGCAAGGGATGCTACTAAACATTCTTTCGTGCATAGCCCCCTCTCCCCCCATACACACACAACAAAGAATTATCTGGCCCAAAATATCAATAGTACCAGGGTTGAGGAACCCTGGTTAGACAACACTCGAAAATAATACTGAAGTTGCCAGAAACACTCAAACCTACATGATGCTGTTGGTGGTGTCGGTGGTGCCCAGTGACCCTCAGTGTCACTTTGGTGTAGAGCTTTCTGTGGGTGGAGTCCCAGGCATGGACAAGAAAGCTGGTCTCTGCATTATGAAGTTGTAGAGGCTGTCTGACAGTAACCACACCATCTGTGGCCACTTTGAATCGGGTGTCATCGGAAAAATAGACTGTCCTTGGTCGACCAGTACATCCTTCAAAACTCACTGCAGGGCATAAATCAGAGTGATTAGGAAATTGGGCAGATTAAAGACAAGAGTATTCTTCCTCCGAAAAGGGGACTTGATTCACCTACCAAAACCCGGACTCACACAAGACAAGCACACACACAAAAAACCCAAAACCTGGTGACAGAACAGCAAAGATTCCAATAGTTGATATCATCATTACATTCTTCACAGTTCATACGGTGGGGGGTAACTGTGATCTGAACTTTTCCTCATTTCCTTGTAAAGTAAAAACAGTAGCCTGTCTATAAAGCAACTTTTCTTTTTCAATAAGAACAAAAAAGGGGCCTCTCTTCCACGTGGCACTAGAAGGCTCTCTTCTAGGACGAAAATGAACCGCTAAACTAACACAGGCAGAATACCGATTGAGTCAAAAAAATTAGAGAATCAAGGTGTGCTGAGATGCTATGATAGTCTACATTGAAATAAACAGTTTACACAATTAACAAGTGGCAGATAATAACAGAGAGCCAGCATGCTATAGAGGTTAGGAGCATGCATAGAGTTTGGAACTAGACTGCCTGAGTTCAAATCCCAATTCTGCCACTTACTAGCTCTGTGATCTTGGGAAAGTTTACTCCTCTGTAAAATGTACCTGTCTCCTTCGGTTGTTTTAAGGCACAAAGAACAATGCCTGGAAAAAAAGAAAAATGCCTGGCACATAATATCTACTATACTGAAGTTTGTTAAATAAAAATAAAATGTAACTAGTTAATCGTTTATTCAGCCCTGAAAAGTAAATACCCGAAGTTGGAGAAGCTGTGGTGAAAAGTGTCCCAAAGGACTCATTCAACAGGTATTCATCAAGTGATATGCCAGATACTGTGTGCTAGGTTATAAGGACAAAATCATGAACAAGACAGATAAGGCAGTTGCTGTCACTGAGCTTACACAATTGTGTGGGAGACATGGAGAAAATACATAAACTAAGTCATTCTCAGGTGGTGATAAGTAGTAGATTTAAAGGAATTAAAGAAAATGACACGAGTGATGGGAGGTGGGGGGGAGGAGATTTTGGTAGGTAAGGGTACGTTGGATGGTAAGGGTAGGTCTCTGAGATGGAGGCAGCTGAGCTGAGACCTGAAGGCGCCAGCCTTGCCAGAAATCTGGCTCGAGTGCCCTCCAGGCAGAGGCAACAGTTGACAAATTCATTCTGGGAAACCCTCAAGTTGGCCTATTTTCCTCCCTTTCAAATAATTGCCCCTGATCCCTCCAGTGGAATTTCTATTTTTTAGAAGTGCTCTCTTATTAAATAAAAAAACCCTCTTGCTCTTAGGCCTGTTTACAAGGCTAGATACCTCTACATTCAAGAGCATCAGATTTCTACCAGAAAGCCGTTCATCATGGCCCGGGCTGCAGTTTCCATGTCTTCCACTAGGGGCCACCCTCGCAAACTGTTTCTGAAGCTAATGACCACGCCCTTGCCAGAGAGAGGTAGAGGTTAAGAGAGTACGTACCACAATTACACTCATTTTGAAGATGAAGAAACTGAGACTCAGAGAGGTTATGAAACTTGCCCAATATCCCATAACTAGTAAACAGCAGAGCTGAGACTGCCCCTTAATGTGTTATTTAAGCTTATGAATGACTCTCCCTCTCTCTGGAAAAACCCTATTAGGGCATTGGCTTATTTATTTTTTGCACTGGCTATTTTTAAAGGATGATTCTGCCTCAAAGCTAGGATCCCAGTGATAGGGTGAGGTCGCTGTCCTATGCAGTAGCTGCAGTTGGCTAATTAGCAAATAAACTGAGCAAAAAGAGTTAAGTTCACAGGAAAGGAACTGGTCCTCTCACTCCACCTTCCCTTCCAGTTTGTAAAAAGTTAAAACCATGCCCCACCCTTATCCTCATCCCTTAAGCTGGGTCTACAACTCACTTCCCAAATGAGGATGGAGTGGGGAGCAGGAGGTAGGTATAATAAATGATGGCTCATTTCAGAGTCTGCAAATGGATTATAAACCCAGATTCTGCCATGTTCTTGCTGGGTGACCTTAAGCAAATTGTTTAACCTCTCTAGGTTGCAGTTTTCTCTACTGTAGTATGAAGGATACCAAGCACCACTGGTCGAGCCTAACCTCTCCAGGGTTCTGTGAAGATTAACTAAAACAGGGAATGTGATCATATTTTGAAAGCTAAAGAGCAATGCAAGTTAATAATACCTTATTCTTATTTATACGCATTTGGGTATACAAGCTAGAAAACAAGTATTTGCTAAATGAACAGATAAATCATAAAAATGACAATAGAAGAAATGCAAAGTACTTAAAAGCTAGGCAGATCCAACCCTTTATGTCTCAAATAGTAATTTCTTTTCAAACTAGAAAAACAAGATGTTTTCCAAGTAACCACTCCCCGCTCCCAGTGGAAGCAATGGGGCAAAATGGACTGTGTCTGGGGTTTTCTAATATAAGCAGGGAAACAAGAGCTGCCCTCATTTACCAAACTGAATTCCTTCCTGTAGCTGCCCCAAATCTAGGCAGTAAAAGTTGGGCCAAGCATGATTGTTCTTGCCAAGGGTGGTGGCCTGAAAAAATGAAAATGGTTTTGCAAATAACTTGATGCAAGGTACTTAACTTGATTTGGGGCATCTCATCTAAATGGCAGCAAAGCCCTGCCCTATGAGAAGTGACTGAAGAAATGTGAGGGACAGACAGCCCCAACCTGAATTTCCAGGTCCTCATTAATACCCATCATATTTCTGTACAACCTGATCCTCTGGGTTGATAAATCAAAAATTATAGGAAAGAGAGGGGATCTCCAGCTCTGGGAAGGCTCCGGGAAGCTCACTTTAACCCTGGCAAGGGCTGGGCAGTGTCTCTGAGCCACTGTGAACCCTAAAGCCAGCAAGTGGGAGGAAACAAGAATGGCAGAACGTTGAAACTGGAAGATTAGTACATGGAGGTTGTGTATATTTGAACTTTTCCATAATAAAAAGTTAAACAAAAATAAAGCCAGCAGGGGACTAATTATATCTTTAACGCAGCATATCCTCCTTTCCTAAACCAGTTAGTTTTTTGGTCACTTGGTCTAGAAACCAAACATTAATGACCAGAGTCAAGAACCCCTTGGCCATCTCTACATGGGCAAATCTTTTCACCACAATGTCATCATTATCCACCCCCACCCCCACCCCCCAAATACTACAGCCTCAACTAATATTGTAAATATGTGTAGAACACTATTAAGTCAGGCATGGTTCTAAACACTTTACAAAGAGTAAGTCATTTAATCTCACAACTTATGAGGCTGGTAGGAGCACTGGTGGCACAGTGGTTAAGCGCTCAGCTGCTAACCTAAAGGTCAATGGTTTGAACCCACCAGCCGTTTCATGAGAAAAAGATGTCAGTCTGCTTCTGTATAGGTTGTAGCCTTGGAAACCCTATGCGGCAGTTCTACTCTATCCTGTAGGGTTGCTGTAAGTAGGAATTGACTCAACAGCAATGGCTTTGGTTTGAGGTGAGGTGGGTAGTATCAGTGTTCCCTTTTTACAGATGGGGAAATTGAGGCAGCTAGTAAGTGGCAGATCAGGGATTCGAACCAAGCAGTTTGGCCTGAGAGTTCATCACTATCCCTCTGTTTCTTCCTACAATCCAGATTCTTGCATTGTGCTCTTTATACCCATTTTTCTCATTTTATCCTCCCAACTGCCATGTGGGGTAGGCATCGTTATCTGTTTTTTCCTTGCTGTAAATGACACGCTGATTCTGATTCAGTATATCTGGCACGGAAATGCAAATTCTCAACAGGGAGACAAATCAGAATGAACCCGTCTCAAGCTCTGCATGCTGGTGAGTGGAGGGGCAGGGCTCCAATCCAGGTCTGTCTGATCCCACAGTGAGTGCTTTTCACCACCATGCTCTGTTCCTCATGTGTAAAATGGGGATATGCTTCCCAGCAATAATACTGAGTTATCATTAGGAAAAAACAAAACAAAAAAAGAAATCCCAGAATAGTACGGAATTCTACACAGTATGGATGTTAAGAGTAACTGCCATGGAGGTGGAGAGAAGATTGAAAAAAATGGGGCTGAGGTAGGGGTGAGAAGTTGTTTTTGTTTTTTTAAATACATTTTCTTTATATGTCTTTGTATTATACTGCCTGTTACAGTAGGAATGAATTACTTTTATAATGACAAAAACAAATAAGAATGAATCACTTTTTTATGGTGCCTTTAACATACTGTGATTATTCCATGTTTCCATTCATCCTACAGTCCCCCATTTTCTAGCCTATTTGGCAGAAATAGTAGTGGACTCTGAAAAAGATGACTGAAGTTCAAATAAAAATTAAACCTAAGTTCATGAAAAGCTTTTGGTCCAGGAGCAGGCTTCTGGCACTCAGCAACATTCTTTGCTTGGCATTGCCATCATACCATGGAATGGTCCCACTTTAAGGATTCCGTTTCTTCTCCCACCTCCCGCCCAGGCCCATAACTGGAATGTGACTGTGTAGGAACAAGACAGTCTCAAAAGCCTCTGTATATTTCCAGAAGATGCTGAGATTCAAGGACAGAAGCCTGCTATCAAACCCAGCTAACCATAGTTGACTTATTTGGTAACTAGTGGGACAACCCAGTCTCTTAGAAGCAACTACTTCCAAGTCGTATTTTCCCCACAGCACACACAAAGGGTGCATTATGGCTTGTCTCCCTCTCATCAGAACTCACTTCCCATGGCTGACACACCAAGGAGCCCGGCACTTAGCTTCATTTCAAGGACAATTTGAACTTGAGTGCTCAGCCTCAGGAAGAGAAAGTTACACATATAACCTTGAAGGCAACATCAGAGAGCCTTACAAAGTTCTTGGGGGTCATGCTGCCATAGTACACTCCCAAACCAAAGGCTACAGTTACTAACAAATGCTGAAGATAAAAGACAAGAAGTTTAACTTGACGGACAAAAGGAAACCTAAACAACCGCATTTAGCTAAGCAGGAATTTTTCTTTTTGCTGGTTAAAAGCAGTGTTTCTAACACCAACC